GAACAGCACCTCCCCAAACCCTCTCCTCCGGTGGCTCCTCCTCACCAGCCTGCCCCGTGCCTCAGTTTCCCCAGCTGAGCCACGGGATCCCAGTGCACCCAGACTGGTGCAGCAGGGCCAGAGATATCAGGGGTGTGCCTGTACCTGCCCATGAGGCTGGCAGCCCCCGTGCCTGCACTGTCGTGCACCTCCACGAAGTCAAAGCTGCAGTCCTCGTGTGACTCCAGGCTGAAGTTGTGGAAGTGTAGGTCGATGACGTGGCCCACGGGCACTGAGATCTGCCAGAGGCACAGCTGCAGGGCAGGGGGCAGCCGGCAACACCTATGAAACCGGGCAGGGGCACCCCCAGCTCTCCCTGGTGGGGGGTGTTGCCTTCCTCCCTGCCCGCCCTCACCCTCGCCCTGCTCCCGCCTCCGTCTCGCTGGCATCCCTTCTCTCACCTGCTGGTGTGGGTATGGCTGGGGATGGCTCGGGGTGGAGAAGTGCCCCTCCAAGGTGGTCAGCGGCCCCCCGCACTCTGCAGGGACACACACACATGCAGCTTTACACCCTGCCCCTTTCCCTTCACCCCATCTCCCTGCTCCCCTGCCCCTGCCTCCCACTGCCCGTCACCGTGCCCTCTGGCCAGGTGCCACGGGGGCTGCAGGCAGCGGGACTGGCCCACCTTTGTGTTTCAGGCTGCAGTTGGCCTCATCGCTCTTGTCCGCGCAGTCGTGGAAGCCGTCGCAGACGAAGCCCAGGTGGAGGCAGAGCCCCTGGTCACAAAAGTGCTCATCCCAGGCACAGCTCTCTGCAGCGCAGGCAGAGATAGCCAGGCTGGTGGTGGTGGCCCACCAGGTACCCTCCCCTGCCCCAATGCCCCGGGCGTTACGGGAGACCGCCCTGGCGCTACCCACTGCCTGCCTGCAGTGAGGAGTACCCGGGGGTGGGGGTACTCACTCTCACTGGGAGCCACGGCGCGGTAGCGGGCGCTGAAGCCTGGGGCGCCCACGCTGCTGTCGGAGACAAAGGTGACGCGCAGGTGGTTGGAGTTGGTGTTGAAGGTCGGAGGGGCCACATTGCCGCAAAACCTGGGGGTACAACAAGGGGCGACAGTGCTCACTCCCGGAGATGGTGCCCCCTCCCTACTGCACCGCCACAAAGCCTGGGTGCAAGGGGCCCTACCTGGATGGGCCCCCCCGAGCCGGGGCAGGATCCGTGCCACCGGCCCCCTGCTCTTCGTAGAGCTCCACACGGTCAAACAGGCAGGAGGCAGTGCCCTCCACGCTGAACGTCTCCATCTTCAGCTGGATGGCGAGGCCAGGGCCCACCTCGATGCGCCAGATGCAGAGTGCGTCGGGTGGGTAGGGGCCAGGGTAGTTGGGAGAGCTGAAGGAGCCCTCGGGGCCCCGCAAGGTCCCACCGCAGGCTGCACGGGGCAACAATGTGGGCATGAGCTAGTACTGCGGGGCACCACTGTCCGGGCACACTACTCCACTTGGGACTTACCCGGTGCTGCCGTGCCAGCTGTAGGCAGCCAGCTCTGGGTTGGAGTGGCAGCTGTCTTGGGGGCCGGGGGGTCCCTTCGGATGGGTGCTGTAGTGATGGAGGCAGCGCCACGGGCGGGCAGGGCTGCGGCTGGAGCGCCGGGTGGCTGCGGGGATGTCAGCTCTGTGCCCAGGGAAGAGCAGAGACAGCTCAGCCCCAGCAGGGAGAAACGGCTGCAGTGCAGGGAGGGGGTTTAGGAAGCCCAGCCAGCCCCACGGCCTGCGCTCCCACCCTACCCCATACGTGTGCAGGTCCCAGGGGGATCCCACATAGCTCTCAGAGGGCCCAGTGACCTTGCCACATCCCAGGGAGGTGGAGATCCCCCTTGCTCCTGTGGGCACTCTCTCCCCATGATGGGGAGACCCTGGGAGGTCCTGTGTAGGATGGATGCCCTCACTGTGCCCCCCTCCTCCTCTGAGCTGGTTCTGTGTCCCCCACCCCACAGTCACAGCCCATCCCCCATCCTTCCCTGCTTGGGCACTCACGGTGGATGACAATGCCCAACAGGAGGGCGATGAGGAAGAGGAGGATGGCACTCATCAGAGCCACACAGAGCCAGGTGAACTTGCAGTCGGTGCGGTACCGCCAGCCTGCCTGGCCCCAGAGCTGCCGGCCTGCGGGAAGGCGAGGAAAGCGGGCAGAGCCGGGGTGCTGCTAGCCATACCCCTACCCTGCCACCTCCCTGCACAGCTGGCTGACCCCTGGCTGGGCACGTCCTGACCTCTTGTCCCCGGGGTGTTAGTGGGTCTCCTAAGCGGCCCCAGAGCCCAGCGGGGAACTTGCCCCACCACCCCGCTCCCAGACCCACAGCTGCTCCTGGCGGCCCCACAGACAGGGGCGTGTGTACAAACCCCCAAGCTGGTACCGAGGCCGTCCTGGGGCGATGCAGAGATGGTCCCATCCTCATCTGGTGGGTGCTCGGTGCTTGGCGCTGCCTGGGGCTCCTCGCCCTCGAAGACAGGGTTGCAGAACTCAGTCTGCAGGAGAGCGAGCGTGGGTGGCACCACGGGGAGTACGTTGCGGGGACCCGTGGGTGGCTAGGCAGGGACCCCTAAGTGGCACCCACACCCCCAGCCCTACCTTGCTGTGGTTCAGAGCCTCAGGGCAAAGCGTGATTTCGGTGAAGTCTTTCATGGCAGCGGGTGATTCCCAGCGCAGCCTGGCTAAAAGCCTCCCCAGCATGCTCTGCCCCCCAGCAGAGCCACCTGCCCCACCACCTGCCCCTCCCCAGCTGCCCCCATTGGTGCCGGGGTGGCGTGGGGACCCCCGCTCCAGGCACCGGGGCAGAGGCGGTGGCAGCGCCAGCTGTGCCTACACGTGCCACCCCAGCACCGGACCCCCAGGAGCCCCGAGGGCCATGCCTGCAGCACCGTGAATGCGGGGAGCCCCGGGAGACCTGCGGCCCCAGTCCCTTCTGCAGGCCCCTTCCCCCTCGCCTGTTAATCCAGCTCAGCTGAGGATGCCGAGGTCAGGCTCTGGCACAGAGAACCAGCGTCTTAAAGGGGAAGGTGTGCTTGCACCCGTCCCGCTGGGAGCCCGTCCCACCAGGGACCCTGCTTTTGGGTGCATGGCGGCACCGCTGGTTTGCCTGCTTCCTCCGGGCTCCCCGCTGGCACAGGGCGGCACTGAAGGGACTGCGCTGGGGAGCCCGGGCTGAACGTGTCCTTCCTTCCCTTGTGCCTCCCCAGCACTGGGCATCTGAGCCCCACCACCTGCACTCCTGCTGCCCCTTAATGCCTCGCTGCCCGTCTCCATCCCTAAGCAGGGGAGAAAGGGGCCATTGTTCAGGGGCTTTGCGGGGAGAGCATGGGCACTGGGGAGGTCCGCAGGGCTGGAGTAGGAGGAAAGGCTCCCTCTGCCTCCGGGCCCTGCAGGTTGCTGGAGGAGAGGGACTGCTGCCTGCACTCATGTCTCCCTTGCTCCTGGCAAGCCCTGGGGCACGGGTGCTCCTGGGCCTCTGGAGCCACGCACGGGCAGGCTGCTCCGGCACCGGTGGCGGTTTCCCTCCCGCTGCTGGAGCCACAGTCCTTCATCTGCCCACCCAGAGACACGCACATGTACACAGCGCTCTGTTCAAGCTAAAATTTATTCCTGCACGAGTCTCCCTTGTACGAGACACTTCCCACCCATCTTGCTTACACAGTAAACAAGCCACCTGCCAAGCAGCAACGCTGCCCCAGTCCGGTACCTGCCGCGGGCAGCCCCTCCATCCTGGCCTGCCCTCCCCTGAGCCCCGCCGGGATGCCCCAGGCTGGGCGGGATGCTCATGGCGTGAGAGTGCTCAGCCTGTGCCCGCAGGGCCAGTGAGGGCGAAGCAGGACGGGTTGCTGGGTGGGATGTAGCTGCCTGGCGGGCTGGGGCTGGGATTGTGCTGGGTCAGGCCCATCTCTCCTCCCATTGCACCTCAGGCAAGGCAGGATGGGGAGGAGAATAAATTAGAGAAAAGGCTAAAAAGGCCACTGGCATTTGCTAGCTGGAGGATAGAGCAGCAGGGCAGATGGGGACGCGCATCCCCAGGCACCCAGGGGGGCTCCTGATCGCAGGAAGAAAAAAGCCCCAATTGCAGATGGTCTCGGAAAGCCACTGTCCTCCCCTCCCTCTGCTCCACAGGATGGACATTCCTGTGCAACCCCAATGGCGTCCCGCTCCCCTAAATGGTTTAAGGCACCGTTGTATGAGGAGGCAGGTAAAAACCTACCCAAAGCATCCCCCAGCACAAGTCCCTGGCGAGCCAGGAAGCGGTGGGGTGCTCCAGGTTAAGCGAAGTCCACTATAAATACATATAAATTCCACAAAATGTTTTCTTCCCTCCTGTCCATGAGTCCGGGCCTGAACTCAGGCTGCTTTGAGGAGTGTGCATGGGGCAGCTGGTGGGAATGTGCTGCCTGAGATGGGACGGAGGCAACAGAAGGGCTGGGGTCCTTTGCCAGGAGGTTCAGGAGTGCCGGGAGGAGGCTGGGAGCAGTTCACGAATCCTCTGGGACAGCCAAGCAGAATGGGAGTGCCAAGAGGCCAGGAGGGATGTGGGAGGCTCTCCTGGGTTCCCAGCTCTGGGTGCTCCGCCAGGGGAGCAGAGGTCCTGGCTGAGTCAATGGGGCAGGCAGTCCCATGCCCGCAGAGTCCCCTGCTCGGTATTTTTATTACACACCAACAAAAAAAAGAAAAGGAAAAAAAAAAAAAAAGAAAAAGAAAAGAAAGAAACTAAAACGTACCCCAAGGTAAAAACCAAATGCCAGCGACCAGGAGGTGCCTGAGCTGCCTGGGCCCTGCCCTGCCGCAGGCTGCCCTCCTCAATTCAGAGCTGGGGTGTCCTTGCCTAGGATTTGCTCCTGGCTGCCTTCAGCCTCCCACTGCAGCCACCTCAGGGTCTCTCCTCTTCACCTCCCTCTTGCACCTGGGGGGGCAAATGGCCGAAACCTGGAGGGGCCGGCTCTGAGGGGTGGTGCAGGGGGTCCCCAGGGAGGCAGGGCTGGCTACATGCGGGAGGATGGGCTGGCCAGCTCGTAGAAGAGCAGGTAGGCATCGCTGCTGCGGACGTGGCTGGATGACATCGGGGTAACACTGTGGAGATGGGGAGATGTGCTGTGATCAATGGGGATGAGGCACGAGGATGCCCTGGGCAGGGAGTCCCTGCTCGCCCCAACCCCGCAGACGCCCCTGTCCCACACGCAGCCTCACCGGGAGTCGTTGAAACTGTGCCACTCGCTGGAGACGGGGCTCTTGCAGTAGGCAGTGTAGTGTCCCCCCATGGTGGTGCCCGAGTGGTTGGAGACGGCGTAGAGGTTGTAAACGGCGTGGTCTGTGGGGAGCAAGGGTGGTGCTCAGCCGTGCCAGCTGCTGCCCCGCTGCCCCCCAACATGCCAGCATGGAGCTGGGACCAGAAGGGACCAGCACCCTAGATGTCTGTGGCTCCCACCCCCCGTGCCTCTGCCCCCTGCCACAGGCTGCAGCACCCTGGGGGGCATGAAGGACCCAGCCAGGAGCCTCCGGGAGCCCAGGGCTGGGCTGGAGGCACGCAGGGCCTGGCACTCACTGCAGCTCTGCGAGGCAAACTCCCGAAGGTCCAGGTCCTTCAGCTGGAAGTTGACGAAGGTGGTGAGCTTGCTTGTTCGTATCCTGGCCTCTGAGAAGCGCTTCAGGTCTGGGGGGTCATGTCAAGGAGCCGAGGGACAAAGAGGAGCCCATGAGGAACCACCTGCCCCCCACCAGCACCCCCTGGCCCTGTCCCTCTGTCTGAAGGATACGAAGCACCAGGATCTTGGGGAACTTCTGGATGCTGAATTTCTTTGTGCACCTTGTCCTGGCTTTGCAGCGACAACATGTCTGCGGGAGACAAACAGCACAAGCAAGAGAGTGAGGCCAGGCCAGCCCCACCGGGCACCGAGCCATCAGTCCTGGCAACACAGGCATGGGAGGGAAAGGGGCCCAGCCTGCACCAAGGCAAGCCCACCTGCCCCCGTGCCCCATGCCCCATACCGGTTTCTCGTCCCCATCCAGCACATCCTCTTTGGTGAAGAGCCGTAGGCAGTCCATGAGGGTGACCTCCCCGTAGCCTTTCTGTGGGAGCACAGCATGAGTCAGGGACAGGGTGTGTGTGGGAGGGAGTTGGGGGTTAGTGGGGACCCCTTACCTTGGGGATGGGCAGGGACAGGTCCCAGAAGGGGTCAAAGGCTGTGGAGCAGTAGCCGCACTCGCTGCAGGTCAGCGAACTCTTCAGCTGCCCAACAAAGAGGTCTGGTGGGGATGGGACAAAGCAGGGTGAGACCCGCGGTTCACAGCCCCACTACCAGTCCAGCCCTGCCCTCCTCTCCCCATGGCCCTGCTCACCGCCAATGCGGCTGTCCTCCCTCTCCTGGTACCTCCTCCACATCTGGCGGCTCTTCTCATCGTCACTGCAAGAGATGGGGAGACAGAGCGGTGCCGAGTGTGGCCTGGGGGACACCAGCTCTGGCGACCCAGCCCAGAGGGACCCGCGTGGTCACTGTCCTTGGGCTGGGCTCGCAGGCAATGAGCTTGTCTGTGGGGCTCGTCCACTGCCTCTGCCCCAGCCAGCACTTACGGGAGGTGGTCCAGGGTGTCCGTGCTGGCCCGTGGCCGCACCAGCACACGGTTCACCTCACTGTGCAGCCCATCAAGGAGGAACCGCAGGAACTCCTGTGCATCCTGCTGGCTGCAAGACACAGGGCATGGCCAGTGAGCAGTGGCAGGGGTCAGCTTCCCTCTGCCACCCCTGCACCAACACCCCTTACTTGTAGCCAACAAAACGGGGAGCATATCTCTGGATCTGTGTCTTGAACTCGGAGGGGCTCACGCTGTCATTGGGGGACGAGGTCCAGAGCAGCTGAATCAGCTTTGCAAACTCTGTGGGCAGAGAGGCAGGTCAGCAGCACAGCTGGCCCTGGCCAGCTCTGGTGGCATGGCATTACTGTGCCCTCCAGGGGAGAGCTCAGCACCCCACCCTGGGGTCCCTGTGGCCAGCCCTGTGCCCTCTGGAGACGGGACCTGATCTTCCCACTGGCTGGGCACCCACAGCACAGTGCCTGCCCCAGCAAGGCTGGGGAGAAGCACCGACCTCTGGGTGGGCATCCCCCAGGACATGGGGTGGCCCAGGGGGGCAAGGATGTGCTACAGGGATGTGCTGCAAGGAAGCCCCACAGGGTGTGGAGCCAGGGGCTGGTGACTGAGGGTTACCTGACATGAGTGCAGTGCGCATGCGGCTGTTGTTGTTGAGGTCCCGCAGGTACTGGTTCTGCAGGCAGTAATCCCGCAGCTCCTTGGTGTTGCTCAGGCACTGCAGGATGGAGTTCATGAAGCACTGGAGGAGGCAGAAGAGAAAACCATGGCAACGGGAGGCAGAGGGAGGCAGGCGGTGGCAGGGGGACACCTGGGGCGGGTGGGCAGAGGATAGGGACGAAGCAGTGCAGAACACGGGAACCTCTTCCTCAGCCAGCACTGTTGGGAGTGGGGTGCAGGGAGCCGCCAGGGTGAAAGTGTGGGTGCTGGGGGCGAGGTGAAGGGACAGGGCTCCCCACTGCCCCACAGATGTGCCTGCAGAAGAGCACGGTGCAATCTGGGGCCGCGCAGCCAAGTACCCGGGTAAGCACTCACCGTATTGCCGAGGTTTCGCAAGCCGGTCAGTCCCTGCACCGCCTTGGAGCTCTGCAGAGAGAGGGAACAGGTCTGAGACAGTGCCTGGCACAGGCTGGCTGTGCCTGTCGGCAGCCCAGTGAGACCACGGGCCACGGACGTCCGTGTGGAGCAGACCCTCAAGTGCAAGCAGAGGCGCCATCCCCCTGTGAGCACCATGGGCAGAGCCAGCACCATGGCTGCTCTCTGCACCAGTTGTATGCAGGACTGTGGCCAAGGAGCCAGCGGGAAGCCACGGCTGGCCTACCCCATCCTGCTTGCCTGGCTGCTGCTGCTTGGCTCCCTGGCCCAGGGCAACACAGGGGTCAAAGTTCTCCCTGCCTGGCGACACTGCTGCCCCATGCCCTGGGCTGCAGGCCAGGCCAGCCGCTCCTGTTATCTCCCCTTGCCAGCCCTGTGGCCCGGGAAGCTGGGGGGTTGCAGTGCCCCGTGCTGGCCCCATGGCTGCAGGAGGTGCATGGTGCCCCACTGCTGCCCACCTTGTCCACACCGGGTGTCCTCTCCAGGACAGCCGGCACAAGTGCAGCACAGACTTTGGCACAGCTGTTTTATGGGATAAAGTCCACCTGGGAAAGTGCAAGCCCAGCCCTGCGGCAGTCAGCCCAGTGAACGGGGCTGCACGCCCAGCGGTGCCCTCCCAACTGCTTGCTGGCCTGGCTGGGCTGCGCCTGTGCCATGGGGCTCTTTGAGGTCCCCAGCTACTTCCTGAGCCAGGCAGACTCACGCCAAGCAGAGATGGGCACAGGCAGCTGGGTGCTGGGGCAAGGAGGCATCGCCACTCTTTGCTGGAGAGACCGAGATTGCAGAGGGGTCTGGGGAGCCACAGGGCTGCTTATCCCTCTTGCAGCATGGGGGACTGGGTGCTGGTGGGGATGAGTGGTGGGAGCCCAGGGGTCCTGCTCCCAGCCTTCCATGTGAGCCTAGCACAGAGAGTAGTGGTGGGATGAACGGCCCTGGAGCTGTGCCTGGAGCAAGTTGAGGGAGGGCAACAGGGCTTGCAGGATCAGACTGCTGATCGTGCCCCCCCAGCTGCCCAGGTTTTAAGGATCCTCAAGCAAACGCCCCAGCTGCCCACCCCAGGCCTGAGGAGGGGGAGGAGGAGAGGAGGGGAGGGGGCCCAGCAGCTCTGAAATAGCAGCAGCTGGTGCGTGTGTGGGAGGTGCTGAGCACCCAGCCCTGACAGCAGCCCAAAATAACCCAGATCCAGTTACACGTGCTCCTTAGCGACGGTGCAGGCATCACCCACCGCAGGGGGGACCAGCACCAGCGGGGACTCGGCCACCCTGTGTGGGCGCACGTGGCTCTGCCGGACCGACCGGGTACCCTGTGTGCCATGCGAGTGCCCCTGCACAGCCCAGCGCACCAGGGCTGTCTCCATCCATGGCCGGCCGCGGCGCTTAGTGCCCGGGGGTGCCACTGCAAAAGTGCCAGGCAAGCCCACCACTTATCCCCTGGCAGGGACACCCAGGCCGCGGAGCAGGCTCAGCTAGGCAAGGGGTGCCAGCAGGCCGTGGCGGGTCAGTGGCACACCATGGCTGGAGGAGCTGGCCTGGCTCTGGTTCCTGAGCAGATGGGGCTGAGCAGGCAGCAGGAGATGTGGGTCTGTGTCCCAACAGCCTACATCCCTTGAAGGGGCCAACCCCCCGCCAAAGGCTTGCTGCTCACGTCCCCATGCCTATTGCAGGGAAGGTCACGGTGCCGGGGGGTAGCAGCAACTTCTGGGAGCTGCCCCAATGTGCCCCAGCCACCCCCACCAGGATGCTGCTCATCCAGTTGCCCTATTCGGGCAGCTCCCGCTGTGTGCCAGGAGGGACCGGAGTGTCCCGCCAATGTGGGCGCAAACCTCCCCATGGACCTGGCATTTGCGTGCTACCTAGGCTGCCCTCGCAGAGCCTGAAGCAACCCAGGGGAGGGCCAGGGCTGGTGGAGGAGCAGGGGGGGCAGGTGTTCCCATACAATGGCACAAGCCTGTATGCACTGAGGTCTTATTCCCCCCCCCCCCCCCGGTTTTCCCTCCCCTGGGTGACTCAACTCCAGCTAATCTCCCTTGCCCGTCCAGGGCTTTATCTAGGACACGGCGCTCGCTGCTCAGAGGCGGTGAAGGAGAGCTGGCTCACGCGGTGGCAGCTGGGCAGTCCCCGAGGCTGCACTGCAGGAGGGGAATGAGGGACAAGGGATGGGGACAAGGGACAAGATCTGGACTGTCCTGCCCCATCCGGGTCTGCATGCCAAGTGCCTGTTGGGGCAGCAGGAGAGCCCGAGCAGCCAGACTTACATAAGTGCCCAGACCCTGTCCTCCCTGCCGCTCGCCTCTCCTGTCCCCGCAGGGGGAGATCTGCCCCAGCGCTGTGGCTCCGGGGACAGCCACGCTCGGTCCAGCGACACTGCCAAGGGGCTGGCATGGCCAGGAGCCCCCTTCCTGCGGTGGGTAGGCTGGGACACAGGTACCTGGCCAAGGTCACCGCAGGGGCAGGGCTGGGAGAGGGACCCAGGTGTCCTGACACGTGCTTTCACCTGCTCCCTGCCCCTCCTGCGGGACACCGCAGCACCTCACGCCCGTGGCCAGCCAGGACGGGCCCCCCCCCCCCGGGCACCCCATCCTCTAGCAAGGGGGATGCCGTGGGGTACCCCGCGCTCCCCGGCGAGGGCAGGGGCCGCCCCCTCCCCGCGCCCTTTTCTCTGCCCCCCAAGCCAGAGGGCAGGGGCTGCAGGCAGCCGCAGGGCTTGTACCTTGGTCTTGTTGAGGACGAGCCCGACGAAGGTGGAGACCAGCAGGGACCCTGGCATGGAGGTGCGGGGACGCAGGTCCTTGTGAAGGTCGGGGAGCGTGGGGGGCTCCTCGGGCAGCGTCACCGTGTACGAGTCCCTCATGACGGCCCTGGCGGGCACGGCCGGAGGGCGAGGGCCAGCGGCGGGGAGGGGGGTGCCGGGTGGGCGCCCCTCGCCTCGGGCCAGCTGAGGCCTGGGGCACGGGGTCAGGTGCCCGGCCTCGCCGGAGCCCCGCCGCGCTCAGAGCGTGCGGTGCCCGGAGCCGGTGCCGGCTCTGGGGCTGACGGCACCTGAGCGGCTCTGACATCAAATGGGTGGAGGGAGAGGCGGCAGCCGGGCTCCGTGACGGCCAGCCCCCGCCGCACCGCGTGGTACAGCCGAGCTGGGAGCCAAGGGGGCCCGCGAGGGGCGGCTGCGCCCGTGGGCCGCGCTGCCGGCACGCCGAGCCCCTGGCAGCGGCAGGGCCCCAGGACGGGCGGGGCCCTTCGGAAGGGGGGGGGGGGAGCCCCCCCGCATCCTCCGACCCTGTCGGCAGCTCTGGGCAGCAGCGCTCCCCGCGCTCCGGGGTGCCCGGCCCCCAACACCCCGACACCGGCGTCACGGGGGCAACGGGGCACTCGGTGCGAGGCGGCAGCCGGAGGGGCGCCTGCTCCCCGGGGGCTCCCCCCCCCCCCTCCTGGGGACTAGGGCTGATGGGACCGGCTCCCCTGCCCTGGGCACGCTTGCTGCCAGGACTGAGCTGGGTGGGTGCTCGGCAGAGAGCGGGTCTGCCCCGGCTGGGGGTCGCTCGCCAAAACGGGCTCGGTAAAACTGGGGCACTGCCACAGCGTGTGGGTGCAGGGGGTGCCTGTACCCGGAGAGGGGCTGAGGGCTGTCTCAGAGGGTTGTGGGGCTCCCGGGCGTGTGCCTTCCCTGCAGGGCCGATGCCGGGCCCCCGGGCAGTGCCATTTTGGGGGAACTGAGCGACAGCAGACCGTGCATAGCCCCCTCTTCGGGGGATGCATTGGTACTGAGCTCAGAGGGTATTTCAGTGCCTTGCTTCCTTCGCTGGGGGAAAACTCCCTCCAAATCCTGTGTGAAGCAAAGACCCCATCTGGTGTCTCCCCTCCGGGTGCTGGGTAAACCGAGGCATGGAGCGGGAAAGGCTCCGGCTCTTCTCCTGCAGCAAGGGCAGATGCGGAGGCTGGCAGGGAGCCCGGGCGTCCTGCGTCCTAGTCCTGCATCTCCCTCTGCTTCACCCCTCTGACCGCAGCAGGGCGAGCGACGGAGGCTTGTGACTGCTGTGCATGCCCAGGTGTCTTACCCGCCCGCTCAGGGAAATTTCCATGGGCGACAGAGGCAGGGAGTGCAGTGCGCTCAGGCTGCTCTGAAGACAGCCAGAGCCTCCAGCCTCACTGAGGGGGTTGGAGGCACCGAGCAGAGGCTGCTTTCCTCCCATGCTAGCCCCCACCAATACACCCGAAGCCAGAGCCAGTGGCTGCTGTTTGAATCCTAACTGCTGCAGATGCAGACTCCCCTGTCCGCGGCACAAGCTCTGCACAGCCAGTGGAGGGGCTGACTGGGGGGGGAGGGAGGGAGACTATTTTTGGCACCAGCAAAAATATCTGAGGAGGCATCTTGCAGCGTTATTCATCTGCAGGGCCAGGGCTTTTTGCATCACAACAGGATGCTCGTCGTAATCCCTGCTTGCGTGTGCGCACATGTGTATATATATACACACCCCACAGTGTGTACACCGTACACACACAGGGACACAGTGCGCGCACGGGGGTGCACACCCCACCAGCCTCGCACAGACGGTGTGGATGCCCTGCAATGCGCTCCCACAGCCCCTGCAGGTCACATCCTGGGCCCTGGGGCCATGGCACAGCTCCCCAGTGCGTGTACCATCATACCAGTGCTGCACATGCCAGCCAGGGCTCCCGCCACCCTGCCCTGCAGCCTGGTGGGTGGCCCGGGGGCAGGGCAGGGTGTACCCCAGTGCACAGCCTGCCCCGAGCGCTGTGCAGGGTGCTAGTGCAGCACTCTCCATGAGGATGCAACCGTGCCAGCAAAGCCGGTTCCGTGGCAAGAGGGGTGGCATTCAGCCACATCCCCTGCTGAACCTTGTGCCCCGGTGACATCAGGTGCCCTGGGCCAAGGACCAAATTTGCCTCCAGCCAGAGCGGCATGCAGGCTCTCAGGGAAAGGCTGGAGCAGGAGAGAGAAGGGGAGCCCCGGTGGGATGGCATCACTCAGAGCCAGCTCCCTGCCCTCAGCTGTCCCCTCTGCAGCGGTGACCTTCTGCCACGGGCAGAGGTTGCCACAGGCCCGGTTGGCACCATGAAGGCAGGCAGGGCCAGGACTGGCTGCAGGCCAGAGACGTCAGCTGCTCAGGATGGGACTGCGGAGAGCTGCCGGCGATTTTGTGGGTGGCTCTGGCCTTCTGACCCTATGTTCACCCAGGGTGGTTAATGGGGCGGCACAGCCCCAGTCCTGCCCCCCGCCAGCCTACCCTTCCCGGGAGCAAGCACGGCCCTGCGCGAAGCCAGCGGCTTGGCAGGCATGGCCACTCGCTGCAGCTGCACGCGCCTCCCTTTGCCCTGCGGGACGGTAAACTGAGGCGCAAAGTGATGGTGTGGGTAAGAACAAATGTGGGCACCCTCGCCTCCCGGCTGCAAACTCCTGTGGATGATGGTTCATGTGGTGCAAAGGCAGGAGGTGGCTGGGGAAGAAGGGATGGGAGGAGGCACTGAGCCAGCCCCGCCATGCCCTGGCTCCGGCGGGAGTGGGTGCTGCTGGCACTGCCCTCAGGGCTGGGTAATGGGGCAGAACCGATGGCAGTGCCGGGGCTGCAACATGCACTTGTTTCCGGCACCTGGCACGACTGCAGGCACCCAAGTCTGTTTTATGATCGGTACATTTGCTTCCCGGCTTGGGAAAGGGAGGAAAAAAAGCACAGGAGTGGAAAATAGCAGGTGTGCTCATCAAAGCACCAAGGAAACCTAAGCCAGTGTCGCTGATCCAGCCTCCCTACCTGCCTGGGGCACGGGTGCCTGCCCCAGCACCCTGTTCCAGCTGCCAAGCCCTGCTCACCTTTGCCACCCATCAGCCCTGGCTGGAAAACCTCTGGCTGCGTTTGCATGAAGACCACAAGGCTGCAGTTTGGGAGTAGCGCAGCCCCTGCTGTCCCATGGCCATCCCATGGCAGCAGGCTGGCACCCACATCGGAGTGGTGTGTGGGCACCTGGGGGTGGGGACCCCTGCCCTAGCAGTGGTGGCAAGGGCTTCAGTGAGTGCCCATGGCTGCTGGGTCCCCCCTTGGTCCCCCCTACCAGGGCCTGGTGTGGGAGGGGGAGGCAGGAATTCCCTTCCACAGCAGGGCTCCTCCACTCACCCAGGCCCCCCAGCTTGCTCCCTCGCCCCAGGGCTGGGGGCCAGGGACCAGGTAGATTGGGCACAGGGGGTCCCACACCAGGGCAGGGTACTGCTGATGCTGCATGTGGTGCAGCTGGTTCTGGGGTGGAGGGTGCGGAGGAAGGGGCAGGCGAGATGCTGGCAGCAGGCTGTGATGCCGCACCCCCTCCATTGCCCCCGCTCTCATGCCTAGGGGCTGAGGTGGGTGTTTAAAACCCGGATGAGCACCAGGGAGAGGGAAGCGGGGAGCCGGACCTGCTAGAAATGGGACGGGCGGTTCTGGAGGAACAGGGGGGAGACCTTCCCCATTGAGCCCCAGCTGTGGGCATGTGGCGTGCAGGAGCGGCCACGTCTCCTCCCTACCCCATGCCTCCGGCTGTACCTCCCCAGTCCAAGGGCATGGGCCAGACCTCCAGGCTGCTCCCACAGCCCTTTTCCCAGGCCCTTGGGCACAGGGAGGGATGTAGGGGCACTGGCTGAAAAGGGGAAGAGCTTCCTCTCCAGCTTGCAGGGAAGCAGAAAAGAATCCCCCAGCCCTTATCCTCCCTGTTTGTTGGGCGATGGTGGGACAGAACCGCAGGGAAACAAAGAGCAGGTCAGACCCTGCGCCAGGGCAGACTGGCCTCCACCATGGGTGAACGAATGCTGACTGGAAATGGAGCGGGAGACAACGCGGGCAGAGCCTGACCAGATCTTGGAAGAAAACCTGAGTGGAAAATTACCAGGCTGCTCCCCTGCGCGCCTGAGCCGGGCTGCATGTGTGATGCCTGCTCCCGGCCCGGGCTGAGGCTCTGGGGATGGTGCAGCACTGATTGATACCTGGGGCATGGAGTGCCTGTCACCGTGTGATGCTGTACGGAGCAGCCACTGCCATGGAGAAACTGCTGCTTCCCTGGCTGCCACGACCCATGCTGGGGGCTGGGGCACAGGGCCCCAAGATGGCAGCAATAGACCATGCCAGGGATCAGGCATCACAGGGCACTGGTGAAAAACCTGACTGACAGCTGGGCACTGAGTCACTGTGCCAGAGCCAGCACCAGCCAAACCAGCCTTCCCAGCTGGGTGTCTCCAGCAGGGTGAGTGCCCAGCCCGGTCATGTCACCTTCTCCAGCTGGGACGAGGCAGCAGGAAACCCTCTTTGGCCCCACGCTGGACCGGGGCTGGGAGGGAGCAGAGGGCAGGGGTTGTGGGCACAGCCAGCTGTGTGGGGACACAGCTCACTGGGTGCACCCATGCAGGTTTGCACGCACAGGGGTGTGAGTTTGCCCGCATGTGCCATCACCCGCTGTCACGCATGCATGCAGAAAGGTGCGGCGCACGCGCTCCTGCCAGCACATGGGCACCCTTAGCCACAAAGCACCCGTGGGGAGCCCCGGGAGCTGTGCTCCCAGCAGTGCAGGCAGTGAGGAGCACAGCCCTTCAGAGGACACCTGCCTGCCCGCACATGGCTGTCTCAGCAGCTCTGGCCCAGGACTGCTGTGCCAGCAAGGGCGGCTTGAAAGGTCAGCAGCAGCCCTGCGTGGCACAAATGCAGAAACTGAGGCACGGAGCAACGCACCGAGATTCCCAGGGAGAGCGTGCAAGGTGCCTCGGTCTCCCCGGCTCAGTGCAAGCAGGCATGGTCCACATATGCCACTGCAGCGCAGCTTTGTCCCCCATCCCCAGCAGGCGCCACGTACCGTGGGGTCCCGGGCGGGCATGTCGCAGTAGCCATCGTTCCTCTCGCAGGGCTGGCTGGCGCAGTGTGTGCCTGAGGGAGGCAGGGCAGAGCTGAAGGAGGCCTGTGAGGGGCTGAGGGGGCCCGTGGGGAGGCTGCCATGGCTGCTTTTCCTCCCGTAGCTCTCCAGGTAGCCACGGACGTAGTCGGAGCGTGTGGCAGCCTGGTAGAGACCCTGCAGGGTGCCGAGTTCCTGGCGGCCCCGGGTGCTGAGGGGGCCGAGGGTGGGCGAGTAGGCACTGTCCGAGGTGTGCAGCCCGGAAAACTCCCGTGCCAGGTCCGAGTGGCTGATGGATTTGCGACGGCTGAGAGGTGCTGTGGTGGGCAGGTAGCCCGGGGGGCTGCTGGGGGCCCCTGCGAAGGTGTAGCATGCACCCCCGCTCAGCCCGCTGCCCGGCGGCCGGGTGCGAATGTATGTGGGGCTCAGGCAGATGTTGGAGTCGGGGTACAGAGGCAGCCGGCTACTGTCATAGCCACTGGTTGGGGACAGTCCTGTGTGGTGGTAGCGGGGGGAGCCCAGGTAGCTGGTTTTGAAGCCGATTTTGTTGCTGTCTGCATAGGATGTGGCCAAGGTGGATCCATAGGAGGTGTACGAGCTGTAGCCACTGGGCACCTTGCTGTACGTGGTCTCGGCATAGCGGGACGAGTCGACGTACCTCTTCAGGGTGGAGGAGAGCTGGGACATGCTGGAGGCTGGGGCTCAGCGGGCTCTCCTGGAGGCATCGACTGCAAGAGAAGAGCCCGGGGGTCAGCTTCCACGGGGCCATGGTCAGCACTGGGGCATCCACCACCAGCATTCACCCAGTAGCTTGCTGGCTCCTGCCTTGCCTGGAGACCCTGGGAGGGGTGGGCAGGCAACAGTGGGAACCCAGGGAATGAAGGGTGCAGGGGGGCTGTGGGTGCAGTGTGGCCATGGCTCCTGCCACCTCCCAGCCCTCCTGGAGAGCCTGGGACAGCGGAGCCCAGCTGGCACTGCCACCCATGTGCCTTCAGGCACCTTCTACCACAGAAGTGAACCCTGGGGCACAGCCAGAGGCACCCAGCATCCTGGCACCCACAGTCACTGAAGCCAAAGGACTGCAGCGGACACCTCTGCCCTGGCCCTGGCGTCCCTGCCACACTGTCCCGAGGCTGTCCCACTCTTGAGGCTGGAGAGATGTCCCCATTGCTCCTCCAGATGGGAAGCAGTTGCCTGGTCATAGTCATGATGCTTAGGCCCAACTCTGGCTGAGATAGGCAGGCAGGATGGACCGATCCAGCCAGCCCAGCACCTTCCCCTGGTTATTCAGAGTGAGCGCTGGGGCTTGGCAAGGGGCTGGCATTTCCAGCTTGCTGCAAACCCTCACCATTGGGCTGAGAGGGAAACGGAGGCAAGGTCAGGAAGTCAGCACAGGACTCCTAGCTGTCCATCCCTGCTCATCACTTGGAGCCCGGCACCAGGCAGTGGGTGAAGACCTCGGTGCAGCCACAACCACCCAGGGGCCTTGGGGTACTGTGCGGACAGCCAGGGATCCCCTCATTGCGGAGGCCTGACCACCCAAGCAGCCTGCTCGTCTCCCTGCTGCGGCTGCCCCCTGCTAGCCTCCCATCAGTTATTCAAGCCGATGCAAGTCCTCCCAGTGAGGCGGCTGCTGTCCCCTCGCCAGTCAGGCAGAGCCAGCCTGTAGGGGTGGGTGACAGCCCAGCACTCGGTCCCCACAGGGAGCTGGTGGGTGGCTTCTGCCCCATGGCACCTGCACGGGGCTGGAGAGGAGCATGCAGGGCTAGGGACAGAGGCGCCCAGAGCATACGCGGAGCCAGCCTGGAGCTGGGACAGGGCAGCATGGCAGGCAGCAGCCTCCAGTGCCTGCAAATGCAGGCTGTCTGGAGCCGGGGGAAAGTTTGCTCTTGGCATGCACGCTGGCAGGCTGATGGCTGGTCCCCTACCTGTCCTGGGGCTGTGGCTGGCACTGGGGCGGGCAGTACCCCAGCCGAGCTCCTCTGTCCTAGTGTTGCTGGCGCTTCGCTCCCCGGGTGCCTGGCGTCCCTTCCCTGGCAGGACAGTGGCTCATGTGGCTCCGAGAGTCTCCAGTCACCCGGGAGATGACCCTGATTCAAAGGCTTTTCCCAGCCCAGTCGGGGCGGGCTCTGGCCCGGCTCCAAGCCAGGAGGTGACGGAGACGGTGCCTGGCCCGGCCCTCGGCCCTTGCGCAGCCCCAGCAGCACGCAGAGCACATCCAGGCTTGGGGACAGGCACTGGATCCCGGGCAAGAGGAGCCACCGCAGCGTCACTCCCTGCCTGACCCTGGGGGGGGGACCCATGCTCCTGCTCAGAGCCCAGGAGTCCCCAGGCATGCCTGCCCCAGTGGGACCCCCTGCCCAGGGGAGCCGGCAGCATCCCTCTGCAAGTGTTACCCCAGGGACAGAAGCCACACCGAGTCTCCCTGCTGTGGCCACAGTGCGTGTGCCCTGCATTTTCCATGGCAGGCAGCCTAAAGTGATCCCCATGAAACTGGAGTGGCAGAAGGGAGCCATGCATTGAGGGGACAGGCCCCCGTGGCTCCACACACACTGGGGCAAGGGGTGAGGTGGCTGCGGTGTCAGCTCCCCCAGCCGTCCCTGCCCATCTAACCCTGGCACAGAAATGCCCTGGGACTGCTTTTGGGAGATGGTGGTGAGAAGCACCATCCAGCCACCATGGCCTCCTGGCCAGCAGCCTGGCTTTCTGGCCAGCCGGCTGCATCCCAGTTGCTGTTGTTATTGCCCAGGGAACAACCATCCCACAATGGAGAGGAAACTATTTACAAGCAAGAGCAAGGTGGAGTGCACAGACCTGTTTGGGAATGGAGGCTGAAGAGTGAATAATCTGCTCCCAGGCAAGGACTCCACGAAACACCCAGCTCTTCCTGGCCAGGCTGCGGTCACCCTTGCCAGCACTGGGAGAGCCCAGGAGTGGTTCTGCCAGCCAGGATTTGACATGCACGGTGGGGAATTTTGCTCAGAGGGATATGGGACCCCAGCCAAGGGACTGGCACCCACTATGGGCGCCAGAGTGAGAGCGATGGAGCCCCTCGGCTCCCAGGGAGCACATGCCTGGCTGCCTGCCTTGCTGGGACACGGAGCAGCCTGGTACAGGGACCCTCCCTGGGCTGCTCCTGCTCCCCATCCCCCTAGCCAGGAGAGGTGATCTGGGCTTGGGACAGGTGCCTCAGTGCTGGGACAGCCCCATGCCATCACCCACTGCCAGCAGTGTCTGTGCTCTCCAATGGCACCCTGTGCCATCGCCCACTGCCAGCGATGCCCGTGCCCTGCCGCTGTGCCGTGCCACTGCCGGCACAAGCGGCGGCTCCCTGTGGGTGTGCGCAGGGTGCCTCTGCCCCCAGGAGAGCCGCTGGCTCGGGAGCGGGAGGGCAGCAGGTGCTTTCTGGCAGCAGGACAGGTCTCCACAGGGCAGCATGTGCCCTGGGGATGCGGGGGAGCTGATGGAGGGATGTGGGGCCCAGGAAGGGGAACCTGCCCCAGACACACCGGCTAACCCGTTGGCATTGCGGGAAGAGAGGTCTTACCACGGAGGACTGCTGCATCTGCTAGGACCGCCTGCGCTGCGGAATCCCCATGTCACATCAGAGCGGACCCAAGGGCTGCGGGAGAGCAGAGCGTGCCAGGAGCCAGAGGAGCTGAGGGGGTGTGAGAAAACCCCGGTTCCTCCCATCACTTCCTGGCCCCTCCCTGCCCGTAATAGTGCTGAGCTTTCCTGCTGCCTGGCAAAACCCTGGGGCTGGCATGGCTGAGTCAGGCCTCCTGCACCCTCGTCATCCTTGCGGGGTGTCAGGGGAAGCTGAGGCACAGGAATGTCCGGTCCACCATCACGTGGCCAGGCAGCAGCCAGCACCAGAGACCCAGGAGCCGGGACACTGTGGGGCTGCTCTGGAATCCCGCCCCGGCCTCCAGCTCCGGCAGCCTTCCCAATGGGAAGTTCAGCCCAAAGCTGGGAGGCAAACTCTTGACCCTGGAGGCAGAGGAGCAGAGGCCCTGCTCCTTCTCCAGCCGCTGTCCTCTGCTGGAGCCCTCCTGCCCATGGCCCGGTGGCAGCTGTCCCCCTCAGCAGCCGTGGAGCCCCAGAGCGGGCTCAGCTTACACAGCACTGGCTCCATCCAAGGTGTTACGGCACAGCTGCTTCTCGCTTACGCAGGCTTGGAGCTGTGTCCCCTGTCCCCTGAGACACAATGTCCCAGCCTGGAGGTTACATGGGAGTTCCCAGCCCTCCGCAACGGTGGAGGCAGAGGAGGGAGCCTGTGTGAAGTACCTTGCCTGCTCCAGCCTTCAAGTGGTTTGGGGTGGAGGGGCTCCACATCCAGCAGACAGTGCTGGGGGGGTGGGATGGTCTCCTGCCCATTCCCCGAGGGGAACCCCCTGGGTATCTGCATTGCCCTCTAGGAAGGGTGGCCCCGAGCAGCCCTGGGAGGCATGTGCTACAAAGTGTTTGCTCCCTGCAAGGGGCCAGAGTCACCAAGGGGTGTCCTCGGTCAGCAGATAGAGACCCCAGTGCCCCGGGGCACTGCTGGCAGCCCTTTTCGAAGCCCTGCTCCAGCACTGCCCCCCCCCCCCCATCTTTCAAACCCGAGAGAGGCGGGGCCGGGCCGGGGTCACGCGTGCAGCTGGGGCCAGCCTGGCCAGGGCCCTTCCCCTACCAGCCACTGGGCCTGAGAACCCTCCAAACTCATGCCATGCGTGCTGGCTGGGAGTCACCATCCTGGACTCGCTCTGTGCTGCTGACACATACCCACCCGGCTGCAGAGCCTGTTACTCGTTGCTCCCGGGCCACCCCCCAGGCAGTAAAACCACAAACCCACAGGGAACCTTGACTTAAGACCCAGGGCATGTTATTGCTTTGAGGTCTGCGGGTGGAAAAAAAGAAGGGACCCTGGGGAAGTGCCTGGGTACGCAGCTCTGCCCACGCTGGGGGATGAGGAGGGTGCCAGGGAGTGCGTCTCGCTGGTGGAGAGCTACCAAGTTTTCGTGCGTGAACTCTGAACCTGCTCTCTGGAGATGTAGAGACTACAAACCTCTCCCTCATGGTTTTACCCAGCCAAAGGAAGAGGGGGGCAGTTTTGCCGCCACCTCTGAGTCTGTGACGCCGCAGCCCCCTTTCCTGGGGCCGGCGTCCCCGCGACACCCCTTCCACTCACCTGCGTGTTGGTCGGCAGGACAGGTGACCGGCGGCTGGTCAGGGGCACGAGACTGGCATGGTGAGGGGCAAGCGGCCGGTCATGGGTTGATGCCGGCAGGGCTGAGCGCGGGGAGCCGATCCTGCCTCCTCGGGGCGCTTCCCCTGGGGCCAGAGGAGAGTGAGCGATGCGAAGGGGCCGGCAGCACCCGAGCCCTTTGCAGGGGACAGGCCACCCCACGGCTCAGATCCTCCACCCTGCAGGGAGCGGACGCAATGGCCAGAGGGGGCCGAGCTGGAGGGCTGTGGGGCCACGTAAAAACGGCACCGCAGAAATTCAGGGCTCAGGTTACCGGCTAGATAAATATAGTGTCTTTATCTGACCTCACAGGGCGATGAAATGCTCCTCTCGCATTCCAGCTTCGGGAGGCTTAAAGGGGACGTGAACCTGAGGGGGCTGGTGGCCCATGGCAAGGGGGTGCTGGGAGGGGAGGCTGCGGAGGCAGCGGGGGCTGTGGGAATGAAGATGGATGACTGAGGGTAAGTGTGGGGAGGGGAGAGATTTGGGGAGGGAGATGGAGGTCCACGCGGGAAAGGAAGGAGTTAAGAGAGGGAGCGAGGTGGGACACAAATTGGCATGGGGGTCAAGGCGGCAGAAAGAGGGGGTGCCCGTGGCTGCCAGCAAGGTCTGGAGCAGAGCATCAAGGTGAGGGGAAGGGGTGCTCTGGGTTTTGCCCCCCTTGGGGCAAGCCATAGGGAGAAGAGCCCCCTAAGCCTGCAGCAAAGGTGTGTACGGGGCAGCCGGCGTGGCTGTGTGGGCACAGGAACACCCGCCCCTCATGGCTCCACGGGGATACCGGGGCACCCACCCAGCACCGCTCCCGGACGCCTGACCCACCCAATGGGGCCTCATGGTATGCTGGCACCTGGGTGGCTGTGACTCAGCGAGCACCTGCTGAGCATAATTAGGAGGGATGCAATTATGGTGGCATTTTCCTCCCTCCTGCCTGGCTCCAGCCCTTAAACAGGGAGGGCCACACAAGGACCGCGTCTGGGTGTCACTCTGGGAGGCTGCTATGGGGTCACCAGCAGTGTTAGGGGGGTGGTGGCAGGGCCCTGCTCCCAAACCTAAGGGTGAGCATGCCCCATGGTCCCCAGCTCCCAGGGCTGCATCTTGACCCCGGGCAGGGAGCTGTACATGGCTGCTCCGGCAGCTCTAGAGGATGTGGGGGCCCTCAGCCGCCCCACAGGCAGCGTGCAGGCATGGGCACGCAGGAAGGACCCTAGCATGACAGGCACACCGCCCCGGGGCCAGGAGGTTCAGGACGCATGCACACACCCAGGCCCACTCCCGCATGTGCTCCCAGCCCTGGCAATTCCCTCCCCGGAGGATGGCGGGGCCAGGACCAGCTCCAGGGTGCCCGCTCGTACCTACCCCGCTTTGCCTCCCTGCCGGCACGGTGGGCAGCCCTGGCCCTGAGCTCACAATGGGGTGGGGGGTGGGGGGCCTCCGAGACGGAGCAGGGGGGATAGGGACAGGGATGGGAAGGGGATAGGGGCAAAGGGCCTGGGCGCAGGGGTCCATGCTCCAGGTGGGCAGGAGGGGGTCATCCTCCCCAGGGAAGGCAAGTCTTGTCCCTGCCTGCTTCTCTCCCACAGGGCTCGGGCTGCTGGAGGCCCTGGGGGACGCAAGGTGGGGGCTGCTCAGGAAGGGTGTCCCCCCCAGCAAGGAGGCTGAGGGCACAGGCTGTCCGTGCCCTCACCGCAGGCTGGAGCCCAGCCCCGCCACAGCCCCTCGCCCCACCGCCGCACACACGGGTGGCCGTGGCTCCAACACACAACCTAGGGTTTTATTGTGCAGACGGAGGAACACTCCCGGAGGATAGGTTTTTTTTGTTGTTGCTTTTCGTAGGGTTCTTTTCTTTTCCCCCTTAACAGAATTTTTTTTACGACAAGCTGTGGAAACAACTACAAATGTTCACAAAAAAATGAGACTCGAGACGCATCCGCGCTCTGCCGGCTGGGCTCTGCGCCTGCCCCGGCGCTCACCAGCAAGCCCAGGGAGCTGGGCGCAGCCAGACCTCAGCTATACACGGCCTCAGCAGCACTAGACAGCAAGCAAGCAGGCAGGGATGGGCAGGGAACCGGCATGGGGGTAGGAGGCAGCTTGCGGTGTCTGGAGAAGAGCAAGGAGTGGGGAGCAGCTGCTGTGAACTGCTCTCAGCCATGGCGGCACAGCCCAGGCTGCAGGCGTAGCTCATCGGGGCTGGGGCTCACCCCATGGACCCAGATGCTCCTGCCTGCATCTTCCTCTGCCCCCGTGCCCTCCCCTGAGCAAGGGTGCAGCAGGGCCAGCCCTCTGGTCTCTCTCCCCACGGGCCGTCTGGGCTGCTCCTTGCCCGGGAGCTGCCAGGTTTCGGGGCGGGGGGGGGCTCCTCCGGGTCCCACGGAGCATCAGGGCAGGCCTGGGCTGGAGGATGTGGGCTGTGCTCGGCGTCCCTCTCCCCACTCTTGCCAACCCCTGGGAAGGTCCTGGCCTTACTGAGGTGGTGGCCAAGAGCTGGGCTGCCCTTAGGCCCTTTTCTGCTCTTAAATGGAGACAAGGAAATGCTGAAAGGGAGGAGGGAGAAGGGAGGGGGCACATGGGCTCTTCCCAGCAGCATGGTGGGACTGGAGGAAGACTGTGCTGGAGGAAGGCCGCTGAGCCTAAGCAGGGCCAGGTACTGGGAGGTGTGCCATGAGGAAAGATCGGGGCCCCCAGATGTTTCTGCGGGGAAGACAGGGTGACAGTGCAGAGGAGTCCCTGCAGAGACCTTGGGGTCACACTCCCGTAGGGGAGCCCCCTCCCCACCAGCCTGCCCGGATTCAGCTCCGGGCATCTCAGGAAGGGGAGCAGGGGCGAAGGCAGGGCTGTGGCTAGCTCAGAGAGGCTCTGCTTGCCTCCACTGTGAGCGGGTGTTGGCAGCAATTCTCTCGTCACAGCTAAGGGCTGGTCCCCAGGGAGAGCAAGTGGTGTCTCGTGCTCGGGCAGCCCAAAGGTACCAGATGATGTCTGGAGGAGGCCTCCCTTCCACCTCAGCTGTAAAAAACAGATTAGGAAAAACTTGTTGCCAAAGCACATTTGCAGTGAGCCGCCTCCCAGGGCCCCAAAAGAGCCCAAAGGAGGCAGGGGCATTTGACGGGCGTCTCCTAGACCTGCTTCCCTCTCTCCTCCCAGCCTGGCCAGGCTCAGCATCATCCCGTGCCTCCCCTGCTCCTTCTGTGTCTTCCCTGCTTGCTCTGAGACACGACTTGCCTCGTGCCCCCTCCCAATCACGGCAACTCAGGGTGACTCAGGATGAGAGGAGCAGGCTGAGAAATCAGGAAGGCACCTGGCTAGTGGGCAGGGCGGGTTGGGGATGCCGGCAGCCCCCTCTCCTCCAAGGGCTGCGGGCACAGCACCCAGCACAGGGACCCCTCCGCACGCTCTCGCAGCATTTCTCTCTCTTACCTGCTAATCCAGCTGTCTTTCCCCAGTTGAGAACAGGCAAACCCCAAAAGTTAAAGGGATGGGAGAAGCGGGCTGTGCGGGGCTGAGGCTCCAGTGCTCCCAGCATGCGCAAACCAGTCAGCCTACCGAGCGGGGAGGTGCGATGGGAGAAGCAATGCTGCCTAGCGGAGCCACCATGCTTCGGAGCAGGGCATGTGTGCGTGTGATGGTGGGTCTCGGCACAGGACGGTGGTTAGCGTTAGATATACGGCTATATAGAGATAACACAGAGAGGTTTCACTTGTTCCAAACGGTTCAGCTTCTCTTTCCAAGGGCTGCGTTCTGGCGGGGGAGGCGGGTTTGCTGGGGTATTCGGTGTGTGCGTGCGTGAGTGTGTGCGTGCGTGTGTATGTGTGCTTTTCCTTTCACAGGGACACGAAGTCCACGGCTTGCAGGAGAGGCAGGGAAAGGAGAAGCAGCAGGAGCCACGAAGTGTTCTGGATCAAGAGGCTGAAGCCGGCGCATTTCTCCAGTTTGTCTGTGAGGAGAGGGAACAGGGAGGGAGAGAAGAGCCGCAATGAAATCCCTCAGGAACAGAGATCAGGCTGGGTCTTATAAAGTGTGCTGGGACTCAGCTTCTTGCCTTTTCTCTGCCACAGAAATGCAGCAACTCTTATCCTGGCCCCTTGCTTGTTTCTCCTCTCACCTTGTGCCCATGTAGCCACAAAACTTTTGGGGGCACAGAGACCCTGGAAAGCATAACCCTGCCTGTGCCTGACTGAGGTGACAAGGGGATGGGCACCAGGTAAGATGAAAGGCTCTGCAACTGGAGGACTGCTCCTGTGGGATGCACGGAAAACCTCCACTGCGCTCCTGCTCCGGACCACATACCCCTTCAGTCCTTCACTGGCAGACTTGTTCCCTCTGCTGGGACTGACTGTGAAGCATCACCTATGGGAGGACACCTGGGCAATGCACCCGAGGCAGGGCCTGAGAGAGGCAGGGCTAAGCAGTCTGAGATGGGGCAGAGCAAGGCCATCTGTGGGGCTGACTGCTCTGCTTGCAGTAGGAGGGGCACGTAAGGGTTAGGAAACATTTATGGGGCTCAGGGAGGGTTTGGGGATGCCATAGGGGGTTGTGGATTTCTCTGCTGGCCCTGCCAAGCCAAGGAGCATCTGAGAAGGAGGGAAAGAGACCAGGTGCCGCTGCCCATCTCACCTTTGATGACAGTGATGTTCTTTATCTGGTTGCCGGTGTAGTCGTTGGTGGCCTTCAGCTCGCACATGTAGACACCCTCATCGCTAGTGGTGAAGCTCTGCAGGTAGAGGCACACCAGGTTCTTGTGCATGGTGACATTGGCTCGGCTCCGGTAGATGTTCTCGGAAACACTGATGGTGCTGTGGATGACGTGCTTCCTGTTGTCCTTGGTGATGCTGAACTCATAGGTCAAGGGGTTGCTGGTTTTGTTCTCATAACGGCAGTCCACCCGGAGGCTCTGGCCCAGCAAGCAGGCACTCAGGTCCTTGATCATCTGGCAGTGGGCAGCCTGGAGGACTGGGAGAGGCAAGCAGGGGTTGGACAGGGAACAGCAAGCACTGGGGATGCCCATGCAGCCTCCTGGCCCTTGCCTGGCTGCTCTGGGCTGAGCTCACTGGAGAGCAGGGAGGGGACGCACGTCGGCCAGCTGTACCTGTCAGGATGACAGCGATGCTGACGGTGGGGTTCATCTCTCTGCTGAGGTGCCCAGCGGCGGCTGTCACTGAGAGGGGAGTCTGGGCAGGGAGAGAGAGAGGCGGTTAGCCAGGCCATTGCCCCAGCGCGCAGATGCAGGCACTCGGTGGTGCAGACACGGGTACACGTGGCACAGGTGGGCAGGCTGCCTCTTCTCACACAAATGATGCTCTATAGCCTGCTCCTCATCATGATTCACTGCACAGGGACCGGCTGGCCTGGCAACGCGCTAGAGAATCGGGCACTGCGTGTCTGGCCAGCATCACCTTTCCGTATCCCCAGGCAATGCCAGCCAAGCTCTCTTTTCCCTGTCTGGCTCCCCCACGCCAGACATGAAATGAGCGTGGCACAGACCTGCAGTTGCCTGCAGCGAAGCCTGCGTGCGCTGCCTTCCCCTCCTTCTACCCTGTGCCCAGACTGGGTGCCCAGTCAAAGGATGGGCAGGAGAAATCAGGATGCGCCCTGGTGTCTGCACATCATGGCCGGAGGGCTGTGTCTCACGACCCTCCCTCAGCGCCGGCAGGCGCCAGGCCTGCCAGCTCCCTTGCGGCTCCAGCGGGTGAGCTCAGCAAAGATGACTCATTGCGATGCAGTGAGGGAAAGGGGCCAAGAGCAGCGAGGAGGGACACGGCAGCTGGACAGGGAGCCAAGACTGCCAAAGGATGGCACCAAGTCTCCAGGGGCTGAGCCGAGCCTGCCCGGCCACAGGGTGGAAGGGTTTTGGGGTGGCAGAGTCCACCCTCTGGGTCCCTGGCCTGGTGCCTGTCTCTCTTCAGGCTGCCTCCTGGTCTGTGTGGGTAAGGGGCCTGCAGATGTGCCATCAAAACCCCAGGGCTGCTGACAGTCCCATCCAGCTGAAAGGAATCAATTACAGGTTTGCAGCTCAGCCAAGCAGCCGCATAGGGAATCCAGCCGCAGATATGCGGAATGGAGGGAGAGGGTGGGGGAGCAGCAAAGCAGACACGGGGGCTGAAGGACACACCGAGCGCCCTGCAGTCGGTCCTCCAGGCTGGGGATGTGGGGCCAGGTCCAGGAGGGGGAGGTAAATTATCACCCCTTTGGGACTCCAGGCTGGCAGAGGGGACAGCAGACCCCCAGTTTGCTCCCTCTGAGCCTGGCTAAGAATTCAGGGAAAAGCTAGGAACTGCCTGCACCGCAGCCAGCTGGATTTTTGTTTTTAGCATTTTTTGGTCTTTCATATAACATTCTAGGAGGAAATACCAAAACCATTTGCTCACTCTGAAGCTGTGAAAGATCTCTGTATCTGCAGCCCCGAACCCTGGCTAAGAAGAAAAACTCCCTTCTGTTTAGTCTTGCCAACCAAGAGGTTGCAAATGGGGGCAGAGGCATGATGGAGGAAGTCTCCTCTGGGTTCCTAGAAACTGGCCCCTGTCCCTTGCTTTGTCATTTCTCAGCTCTGACCCACCCCTCTGAATGTCCTGGGATGCTATCTAGGTCACAGCCAGGCTTTTCTCCAGAAAATCAGTGCAAATAAGCTCCCAGAAAGGGGGGATTCCTCCTGTCTATGTGCAAAAGCACTCAGATCATCTAGGCTCTGCGTTTGGGAGCCCTTGGCTCCCTCATACCCCTCGTCTCCTCCTGACAGCGGTGCCGGGAGCAGAGCTAGCCAGGTAACTCTCGCTCCAGCGTGATCCCAGGGGCTTTTTGTAGGTAGAGGACTCTCGAGGAGGGCACCATCAGAGCGATTCTGGCTTTTGCAGAGCAAAGCTTTCCAGCGCTGTCTCTACCACCTGCTCGGGGCCACACCATGTTGGTACCTCTGTGCCCGTCACCGTGACAAGCTAAGGGTGACAAACAGGCTGCGGGGATGGA